TACCTAACTGCCCACCCACCCACCCGTCTATCATCCATCCAACCATCACCAACCCATCTAATCCATCCATCCATCCACTTACCTAACTGCCCACCCACCCACCCGTCTATCATCCATCCAACCATCACCAACCCATCTAATCATCTACCATCCATCCATCCATCCACCTATTTTCCTATTTATCTGTAATTTTCAGATGTAATTCAAATATTTACTTTCAAAAACAGGCGACGCATGCTAGTAACGGGTACCAGAACAAAGAAATGAAAACAAAAACAAAAAAAGAGAACGAGAAAGGGAAAATAGTCACAGCTGTATATGCGTTAGAGGTAAAAGACATGCACTTGAAAATAAGTAAGTGGAAACTGTTTCAGAAAAATACAGAACCTCAGAGAAAGACTGGGGAGCATTAGGAATAACTGAGCAGAAATCCTAGTATGACGTACAAACACAATTAATGAAATGAAGCAGGAGGCCGATGGACCCATCGGTGGATGCGCGAGCTGGGACAAGTCAAAGGCCGGAAGCAGTGGCGGGAAAGGCACGGAAGACAGGGACGGGGACGGGGACGGCGCCGTGCGGGACACGGTGAGCGACGTCTAACACACGCACAACGGGGCCCAGGAGGGGCGCAGGGACGAGCAAACCTGGGGAAGTATGTACTGAGAATCTCCCGAACACGCTGAAGACATTGAGCCACAGGTTCAGGAAAAAAAATCCAAGAAATCGAAGCAGGAAGCGTCAACAGGACTCCGTGCGCACTCACTCAACGGCAGAAGCGATGAAAATCCAAGACCAGCCGGAGTGGCGTCTTACCAGTCCGGGAGGGGCGGGAGCCGACGTCAGTGCGGGTGCTTAAACGCTCGGTTAGCCTGTCTGCACGGGAGCCCGACGCCCACATCGTGTCGGGACAAACCCCACGAGAGTCCCGGGGGCGGGTTCTGTGCCTGCGTCCACGCTGACGCCCCTGGTCACCAGGGCTGCGTCTGGTCCGCACGCTCACCTCCGACGCCTCCACAGCCCTGGGGCAGTGTGGTCTCAGTCCCAGTTGGGAGGCACCCGACACACCAGTGTGACCTTCCAGAAGGTCGTACTTTTAGGTCAGAAACCCTTCTAAAATACACATTTGCTGGGTGCCTGGGTGGCTTGGTCGGTGGAGTGGCTGGCTCTTGGTTTCGGGTCAGGTCAGAATCTCAGGGTCGTGGGATCGAGCCCCGTGTTGGGCCTCCCTCCCACGCAATTGTCTTCTTCGTAGAAAAAACTATGTTCTCGATAGCGCGTCCGTGTGTCCACCTCCCACATAAGAAAGAGCTGCTGGGCGCCCACCACCAGTCAAAATGGTGCTGGCTGCCGGCCTCCGGTGAGCGCGCTGCCAGAAGGTCAGCCTGCGGGCTTCAGAGGCACCTGCCAGAAAGCTTCCTGGAGGGCTTCCTGGAGGAAGCAAGTTCCATGGGAGCCCGAAAGCATGTGGGTTTCCAGTAAACCAAGCGGATGCCAAGGGAGTGGGGACACCACCCAGGGCTCTGCTCCCCGCTGGGCCCCCACCGCTAGGCTGGTGCCAGGGGAGCGATTTGCACCTGCTATGAATGAATGAATGAGTCCGCAGTGGCTCAGAAGTGATAGGAAGAAGTCCAGGGTGGGGTGTGGGCCTGACCCCGAGGAGTCAGGCTGGACGTCCCAATCACCCCCAGACCAAGGAGCAGCACTGGACTCTGGGGTCAGGACTGTTTCTCAGTCCAGCCCACGGCGGGTGACTGACGGCGCTCTCAGGGGTCCTGCTGCAGCTGCAGGGGCTGCCCGCTCCCATGTCCCCCACGATCCTGGGAAGCCCATGCCATGCCCGCATGGCGCCTGAGATCACCACCAGCGGAGAAGAGGCAGGCGGGAAATAAGGTCCAGCTTTGTCCCTGTTACCCTGTCCCTGTTCCAGAAAACAGCAAACTCAGCGCTCCCCATGAAAGTGGCTTTGTTCGCAGCTCTGCGCCAACATGGGGGCCGTGGCTGGGTTTGGTTCCCGGCCCTGGGCGACAGGACTTAACCCTTCCATCTGGACAAGGGCCAGCCAAGGACCTCATTGCAGGACACTGGCTTCCCGGCCACTTCTCCCGCAGGGCCGGGCCCCTCTGTGCTCAGACACGCATGCGAGCGGGGCACGGCGGCCACTACAGGGCTGCAGCCCCCACCATCCAACCAGTAGGAGTGGAGCCTCAGGAGAAGGGGCATGGCCTCCGTCCTCAGACACGCAGGGTGCTGGGAACACGAGTCCACGAGCAGAAAAACACGCCAGGTCCAGGAGTCTGGCTGCAGACCACGAGCACGCACGGCATTCCTTCCAGGCGGTGCACGCCTGGAGGTCAGACGGGACGCATGTGGTCGAGGCTCTCCACCCTGCACATCCGTTCACAGCTACGGGGACGTCTCCAAATGGGCTGTCTCTGGGCTCAGCCCCCTGTTCCGTGCACTCCGCACCCGCAGGCTCAGTCTGGGCCCAGAAGGAGGCCCGGGGGTGAGGTGAGGGCCATCAAGAGCGGGGGAGGGGTCCTGTCTTCGAGGGAGCCTTGCTGGTGACAGGGTGGCGGCTTCGCTCTGCAGTGGCACATGTGGCTGCCTCAGGGGGAGCACGGCCGGGTAGGCCCTCCTGCGTCCCGGCGAGCGGCTGGCCTCAACCACTGTGTGGCGGTCAGACTTCTCCCTGGGGCCACGGCACGCCCCCCGGCAAGACGCGTCCACACATGGGGGCACTGGGAGCCATGAGGGGGCGGCTGTGGGCCCTGCTCCCTCCAGGTCCCTGGCATCCCCCAGGCTAAGCACAGTCTGTGTTCCTCCTGAGAGTCTCACATTTCCCCTTTCCGGCTGACACCCAGAGAAGGGGGCACAATACGGTCAGTGTTTGGAAAGCGGGCCCCCGGCTTCCTGGTTCCCTAGGCCAGCTGGTGTCCTGGCGCCCCAGGGACCGAGGACCGAGGGGCTGGGGAGGGAGGAGGGAGGAAGAGTGCCTGTCGCTCCGGGGCTCCCAGACCTTCCAGGACCTTCTGGGCCCAGGCTCCCCTTGGCTTCCCCTTCCTGCACTTCCTTTACCCGGAGCTCGGGTGACAGAGGGTCGCAGGCTCTTTTCCAAAAGGTCTATTTTTAGGCTGCACTGGAGCTGCCGCAGGAGGTTCCGTGGGAAGCAGGGTAGCATCTGCTCTCCACCAGCCACGATTCCATCACACGGAAGTCAGCAGGAGGAGGGGGACCCCACAGGCTCGCCAC